AACTGATTTTTGCAAGAATTTCCAAATCAGTGCATTTTTCATCGCAAAAGGATGTTCAAATTTCCCATACCAATTGACCTTAATATTTTTAACTAAAATTTCGAAACTTCTAAAAAGTATAATTTAATAACCAAAAAACACTGTTTTATTTATTTATTTTTTTGTTGTTGTTTTTTTTTCTCTTAATAGTAACAAAGATTTTGACAGTAAATCTTTAATTTTAATTAAGCTATGGGAATTTTGTCATCATGTATGCTCTTTTTTTAGCGAATATTTGGAGGTACCTACATATATCAAATATTTTTAGTGTAAATTTCAGATTAAAAACAAACATCCATTAAATATGCAGAATTTTACTGACTTATTGATCCACCCTCGTATAAAACTCTTATTACATAAAATTACGTAACATCCATTGTTATCGGGAGTTTTTATAAGAAATGCATGCGTGGTTGACAGACTGAGTTTACAAGTAACGAATTCGGCTCCATTTAAAAGCTTAACAATTCTAAATTTTAAACTGATTGTTCTCTTATAAATAGGCCAGTTTATTTTAAAAAGTAGCCTTGAAAGACCTAAGTAGTGATATTCAAAATCTAGCAACACTGTTTTTTTTTTTTAATTAACCCATTCTATCAACTATACATTCGAAAAAGGTGTACGTTTGTTTTGTAGAAGGCACATCAAGACGGGAAATTTTGCCACAAAATACCGCGATAGACAGTGTGTGTGTGTGTGTGTATGTGTGTGTGTGTGTGTGTATGTGTGTGTGAATTTCCAGTGTAAATTAGTTTTTTTTTTGTGTGTGTTATCTGATTTTTATATTATATTCTGCTTCAATTCACAAGAAGCCTGACACTGGGCGACTAATTTGCAGGGTAACAAAATAAAAAATAAAAAAAAGAACAAGCGAAAATGAACGAATAAAAATCCCGAGAAAATTCCGAGCCATAACCATTCACAAATCATTTGTATACAATTGAATAGAGAAACGGAAACAGTCATAGTTTCATTATGCCATTAGACACGCGACATGTTTGAAACATAACAGAATAATAATAATAATGCTACTGTAACTATTACAACAACTACTACTACTAATAATAATAATGCTACTATAATTACTATTACTACTAATAATAATACTGTAACTACAACTGCTACTAATAATGCTACCATAAATACAGCAACTACTACAAATACTAATAATAATAATAATAATAATAAAAAGTGTGTGGTCACTGTATATATAATTTTATAAATGGCATATATACTGCCTTTCAGGAAATAATATTTCATTCGACACCAGAAGAATATTATGAACACACGCTCACTTCGTCTATGTGCCATGCCCCTTCAAGACGTTGGCGGTCATAGCTCTCCACGATTTCCTGTCCTTTATAGCATAATAAAACAGTCTTTTTGCTATCGTACACAAGCTCGTTAGGCTAGGTTTATACGCGACTTTCCTCTGTGACTCTTGCATTCAATCTGTCTTGTGAGTATCAGATTTTCCAAGCCCTCTTTCCTCATTATGTGCCTTCGAAAATTTAACTGTCTCTTTCTGATACTAAGTATAACTATCCTTTTCTTTTGTTTCCGTTTTCTCTAAAACACTGTCGTTGCTCACGTTATTCCATGGTATTCTCAGTATCCTTCTGTAGAACTACATTTCCGTGGCCCCAAGTCTATTATTGATTTGTTTTTTTTTTTTAATTTTAGAACATCAAAACTGTTTCTGATCATGAATTTTAATATTCCCTCTCTCGCTCTCATTATATACACACATCTCACAAGATATATTTCGCAAATGTTTTCGAGACAAACAAAAGATTGACTTCACCTCAGTTCCTCTCATAGCGTCTGTTAACGACTCAAAGTGTTCTCTCTATCGCCACTACATTATATATATATATATATATATATATATATATACTCACACACACACACTAATGAAAGTATATATTCTAATGAAAGTTTTAAAGTGTATCAATGTTGAAATTTGGGTGACAGTACCCTGTTAATATAAATCAGTGTTTTCGAAGATATCGGTCGTTTCAATATTTTTTCCGTTAAGAACATAAAGAAAATTACCTAACACACACAAAAACCGTTTTCGAGACGTCGAAAGCATCCTCTGGAAGTATATCTAAAAAAATCTAAAGGTCAAAATGGAAAAAAAATCTTGTAAATATTTCTAAAGTGTACTAATATTCATACTTTGGAGGGCATTTTATGAGGCAAGAATCTTTCTATTGTGTACTTGTAAAATCCTTTATATGCCATAGTAGAAATCTTTGAAATTTTAAAAACTGAGATTTGACTCGAGAAGACAGAGATTCCTTTTGGAATTGGTAAACAAAAACATTCGCATAGTACAAGCATTTTCAATAGCCGACTGGCTTCCAACAAAATATACAACAGTGTACGATTACCAACTTTTCACTTGTTTTCTGATGTATTTTATAATAGATAGACAGACAGACAGACATGAACAGACTTTAGATAGACAGACAGACATGAACAGACTTTAGATAGATAGATAGACAGACAGACATGAACACACTTTAGATAGATAGACAGACAGACAGACATGAACACACTTTAGATAGATAGACAGACAGACAGACATGAACACACTTTAGATAGATAGACAGACAGACAGACATGAACACACTTTAGATAGATAGACAGACAGACAGACATGAACACACTTTAGATAGATAGACAGACAGACAGACAGACATGAACAGACTTTAGATAGATAGACAGGACAGACAGACATGAACACACTTTAGATAGATAGACAGACAGACAGACATGAACAGACTTTAGATAGATAGACAGACAGACGAGACATGAACAGACAGATAGACAGACAGACAGACATGAACAGACTTTAGATAGACAGACAGACAGACATGAACAGACTTTAGATAGACAGACAGACAGACATGAACAGACTTTAGACAGACAGACAGACATGAACAGACTTTAGACAGACAGACAGACAGACAGACATGAACAGACTTTTTAGATTTTACATCCAAAATTGCCAACACCGAAAAAGAATTTTTAGGGAAATTTTTGACTGTAAACAAGGAACTTTCGCACATGGGTGGACAGCAAAACACGTGAGTGCATATGCAATTGTTGGATGCATTTTCTTATATCGACGTTTACAAAACAGATTAACCTTACTCTCTGTTTCCACTTCTCTTTCGATCTTTGTCCCCAGCTTTTTTTTTTTCTTTCTTTTCTTTTTCTTCTTATACAATTTTAACGAAGTTACGAAAACTACTGTAACATTGTGCTCAGCAACTCGGACTCGGGAAGCCTCCCGACTTTGCATGGATGAAGCAAAAAGACGATGAAAACAAGCAAATCAAGACGTTTTTTTTTTTCTTTCTTTTCTTCGTCTTCCGTCTATGTGTAATTTGGAGGTCCTTATTTATTGATGCTAATTTGACGCACCAATAGGCAGATTATGTGAAACGAGTCTGACCAATGGAACTTTAGGCAGAAAAAAGAAGAAAAAAAAACAGCGTGTATAAAAATAAAAGAAAAAAAAATAAGATAAAATAAAGGCGTATATTTGTTAGAGTCTTCTTATGTGCAGTCTCCTTTCAGGACGTAGGCTATCGTAGGTCCCCACAACAATGTTTATCTGTCTACTATACGTCCCTCTCCCAGTCAAAGATATTTTTTCCGAAAATAAAAAAAAAAAAAAGTTGACACAAGAAGATACAGGAAAAGTTTGATGCCATGCAAACGCAGCATTTTTCCTTTCATTATTTAAATTTACACTGAAGTTGTTTGTTCATATTTTCTTATTGTTATTTAGTAAATGTTTGGTACAATGCTAGAGGGGTACTAAGTGAAAGTAAAACACTAGCGTTTTATTGCAGTAGATAAATGAAATGTGTTAACGACCGTACCTCGGATGTAAACGTTGTTTGTTTTACCATTAAAGAAATAAAGAAAAATATCTTATTCCATATTATGAAAGAGAGGGGGGGATGTTAATTTAAATTTTCTAATTTGTAATAATTAAATAGAAAACAAAGATTCATTTTTGGCTGACACAAAGATGAGGTTGAAGATCATATAGGGATTATTGAACTCTCGACATTAATAATTTGGTTGATATCGGGAAACGAGATCGCTGTCACTCCACAGGAGGCGCATAAAACACACATACACACAATTTTATATCATAAAAAGCATGCGTAATTTTTTTTTTTTTAAATCGGCTAGACTATATACCCAAAACATTAAAAATAAAAAATAAAATAAATTTAAAATTCCCAGCGTCTCCTCTCGTTCGTGCGCATGTGTAGTCGCTTAAACGTAAACACCACTTTTTAGTCCGATGAAGTCCTAAACGATGAAACACTTTTACCATAGATTTTCCTCATATATATATATATATATATATATATATATATATATGTGTGTGTGTGTGTGTAGATAGATAGATATAGATAGATAGATATAGATAGATATAGATAGATAGATAGATAGATAGATAGATAGATAGATAGATAGATAGATAGATAGGCCGATGAAAGAAATTCGGGAAAGACAGACTTATTATTATTGTTGTTATTATTATCATATACCACCAATAGACTTATTTATACAATTCTAAAATGGTGTACTGTAAACCAATCGTACTTCATTAGATATTAAACCGTTTAACAATACATAATTGACTTAATTTAACTTCTGACATTATTATTATTATTATTAACCAGTATTATTGAAAAGATGAATGCGCGGGAAGTGTAACGGCTAATGAAATCGGCGAACAGGGTTCGAATTTACGACCAAGTTCTTTACGTTCACTTTTACTCAAATGCCCTTGGAAAAGGTATTAATCCAGCTTTTATCCCCAGCTATGGATTAAATAGAAGGGCTGACTAAACTCTCTTACCCTGAGGTAGCAAATCAGTCTAAGAGAAGAAAAACTCAAACGTTTTGAAAATTCATTTCAAAAC